GGAAAGTACGGATAGATGTGGAAGGTAGTATGGGCCCGTACTACTTAAAGTAGAGGATCTGTACTCGAGTCAAGGAGGGCTGAGACAGAACCAAGGAGCTTGTAGTGTGTGTGAGACCTATCGAGGTTATGTACGACCTTGACGATTATGTGTTTTATTTCAGAATGGTGGTGACATGTCACGGAGCAGGAGGTTTAGGGTCTGGTTCAGGTTCAGGTTCGGGTTACGAGCTAGTTGATGATGGATAACGAGCATTCATTGTATCCGAGATTACGAGAGGCATCCTTGAGACAACCCCGATGATTTTCGGGTCGATCAAGGAAGGTATCATTGAGCTGATGGAGGATCGCCTTAGGGAATTCAGGAGTGACATGGCACTGGGCCAGTCAGGGACTTGTACGCTCTCCTTCAAGGATTTCATGGGATGTGGTGCGCCAGACTTTCACGGGGTGAAGGACCCCATTGTGGCCAAGTATGGTTGGTGGGCCTTGGAATGGAATCCAATTGTTAATTGGGTGTTGTTTTGATCTGGTAGTTCGGAGGAGTCGTCAGGGCAGCGACTAAGGATTTCTTTCAGTGAGCTTCTGCATTCGAGGTAAGTCTCCTCACTGTTCTATGGGTCGAAGGCACCAATATTGGCCCATTTGGTTTATGTATTGTAGGAAGACCCGGGGGGTTAGCCCTTGGCATTATGTATGAAAGACCAGGAGGCGACTCCTGGCACACTGTATGCAAGACCAGAGTCTGAACTCTGGCAGTTAATTAGTTAAGTAGTGTAGATTGTATGCTAGTTGTCTTTGTGATGCTTGCATGCAAGACCCAGAGGTGGCTCCTGACACTTGTCTGTAAGACCCAGGGTTGTAGCCCCCGACCTGGCAAGGAAGACCACGAGGCGGCTCGTGGCATAATGGCAAGACTATGGATGACACATAGCACCTTTATTGATTATGATATATGAATGATATGTATGGCTCGCGGTTATGTATGGCATGTATGAATCGTTTGATATGTATGGTATGTGGTATTTAGGGAACTCATTAAGCCTTGCGCTTACGGTTTTCAGTTTATGTTTCAGGTACTCCAGTTTTCAAATGAAAGAGCTCGGGACGATCGCAGCGCATACACCCGTATTTTCCGCAACATAAGATTTTGGGAATGACCTCTGATAATTGTTTTATTTGAAATGCTTTTCAATTTTTGGAAAAAGTTACAATAGTGTTTTGATTATAATAAAAATGAAAATTTTACCCTGGATTTTTGGGATGTTACAAGTAATTATCGATACTAGGGTGTGAGGAGGTTGTTCATCGGACTGACGAAACGAAGTTTGCCGGAAAAATGCGAATCGCCGGTCGAAATCACCGACGTTTCACGAGCGAGGTGTCTCTGCTTCTAGTTTCTGATAATCGAAAGGGTATCTTGAATCGGTATGCTAATCAGAAACCCCAATCTTTCCATTTCGACAAGAAATTTGTTCAATCAAAACCCCTAGAAGCCGATTTAGATCGAAATTTAGGAAGGTTCAGAAAGAGATCGGCAACTTCGAGGGTGGAGATGCCTTCAACTTCGACAAGTTGGTCTACGTTCATAGAGAGACTGAGGAGGGCTTCATTGATTTAGGTTAAGTCTGATACGGGTTAAGTGTGATACGTAGCCCCCCTTAAGTGCAACCCCAAATTTTTGATTTACCAAACTGCTTTCGTAATTTCTATAAAAGAAATCTTAATTTTCCCAATTGATTACCAACAAAACTGAAACTTTGTTGAAGTCCGTCGGTAAACCGTTAGTACATAGTAACAGATTACCAACAATAGCATATATTGTTGCAAAAATGTCGCAAAAACGTCACTGATATTCTCATAATTTCGTTTTCTTATTCGGTCGGAAATCCATCGTATTCCGTTGTTGTTTCCAACGGATTTTTTCCGTCGCTAATATCTGTCGCTAATGCGCAGTTTTCTAGTAATGATATATGTAACCTTAATTTTGTGTGGGTGGGTCAAGGCTCACTCTTGCTCTATATTGACCATATATATGTAAACTTAGTTTTGTGTAGGTGGGCCAATGTCACTCTTGCCCTATATTGACTACGCCCCTGGGCAGGGGTAACGAGGGATGTAGGAGACAAATGCCAGAAACAAGAGTTATTAGAGGTGGGGTGGGGGAGGCCCCTCCTATTTGGCATGTTCACATCTCTAACAAAACAATGTCGTTGAATCAAAGTCGCTTATGATAGAGTATAATAAATTTCGTAAAGATACGATATATAGTACGTATGTCACAATCCGAGTACATTTTTAACAAATGGCATGATATCCGTTGGAATTTGAGTAGTATAACCGTATGACCAGTTAAAATTGCTAGAAATAAACTTCGAGGTTTTACTATTCTTCAAACAAATAGTAGCCGTTATTCTAATAATAAAAAACTAAAAATATACTAATCTGATAAAAACGATTTTTTTTTTTGAAATTTTAGTTAGAAAGATAATAAGGCTAAGTGTGGGAGACAACTCACCAATAAGTACGTCACATGTTTAATAATAATGCAAAGTCAATCAACATTTCGTTTATAAAATAAGTAACTTCTCATTGTGTATGCCTTACATGTGATGCATTAACAACTCATCAAAAATCGAAATGTGGAATCTATCCTATGGGAGATTCATTATTTTGAGTTAGTTCTTTAACGTTCTATATTATTATTTTTTAAAAGCTGCTTTTTTATTTGATTCCAAGTTCTTCAATGTCATTTAAAGAACTTTTTATCCCGCTACTCTCAAATGAGGTGCTATTATAACTGATACAGAGTTTTAAAATGTAGTCTATTGCGATCATGAACAAAATTATCAGATATATATTTCATTCACTTTGTGTTATGACGTTTTATATTTATCTTATAAAAGCTAATAAATTCTTGTCAAAATCCAGTATCATAATACATCATGCCGAAACAAGAAATATAATACAATGATGTTGATTAATGATATAAAAATATCAAAATTTATGTAATTTATATATTTATAAATATTGAACTAGTGAATATATTTTCTAAAAATAATTGCACCCTAGCTACAATGCAGAAAAGCAAGTGAAAAAGACAACAGCAAAGAAACACCAGGGATGTTTTGACATTTCACATGTCCATGTGATCTCCCTAAAATAATTATTGAAAGTATAAATATTATATGCGACGATCAGGTTTTCAAAAGAAAAAAAAAACAAAACGATAATTGAATAATCCTGTAATATTCTTTTTCTGGTCACAACATTGTGTGATATTCAGATTTATATGTGTACTGGTAAATTGCAAAAATATTATACTACGTAATATGTTCATGAAATGTAAATAAAAAAATTGAAAAAAGAAATTAACGAAGAGGGTTTATAAAAACCGTTTGGTATAAAGAATAAATACTTTACAAACTAAAAATTGGCGCTATCGAAGTATAATAATTAATTCTAAGAAAAACGACTTGAGAAGGTATCTATTCGTTTTTCTTTTTCACATTTAGGCAACATTTTTTTTCAAATTATTGAAAAACGAAATTATTAAAAGTGTTAAAATGTTACCATTATGGTCAATTATCTAAGGTTACACATTATTTGACGTTTTACATTACTTACATGACAAATTAAAATGAAAAAATGACTCAGGAGCTAACTATCTATTTGTTTTGTTCATATTTAGACATTTCTTTTTTTAATTTTTTTACAAGGAACAATGAGTCTTTTTTTTTAATTTTTTTAATTTTGTTTTGATAAACCAATTATTATCGATTATGAATTATCTAATAATATCAAAAAATAATTTATTCGTTTGCTTAATTTGATACTCATTTTTCTTTCATTCCAAATGCTTATGACGATGACTACATTCAATAACCACAATATGTTTTGTGACGATACCATCTATTATTTCTCATAATATGTATTATTCATGTATTTTACAAGTACAACAGTTTTGAGATAAAAAGAATTTGAAGACATATACAATGTTGCCTAAATCATGATCATCTTTAATTCATTCATACTCTATACAGGTAAAGAAATTGCATACTCGTCTATATGCAATTCTTTTCTCCATAAAGATGTATAAATATAAATGTTGTTGTATAAATGGTTTACAATGGAAAATGGTTACATTTAATATTTTTTTGATGTTCTTTTATGTATGATTTTATAATGTCTAACATTTGTATCACTTATTAAGTTTTCCATCTGAACGTATTATTTTTACATATATTATTATGAGAAACATGTATCATGGTGCAAACTAAGAATAAAATATAGTCATACGAACATAGAGAAGATGTCATTAATTAGGTTTGAAAAAACTTAGACATTTATTGAATGAATAAGTGTCATGATATTAATTGTGATTATCAATAGTACTACTTTTAAACAGTGTTTTATTTTGTTTGAGGTTTTTGATAGTTTTCGAACATCCACTTTTAATTAAAAATGATTTTAACCTTTAAAGGATTTTTAAATGTTATTTTGTGGCAATATTTCCATAGCAAATGTCATTGTAACATCCCGTTTAAAATAGAATAATTAAATAATAAACCTATAACCCCGAGAAGTAATTTTATTATTATTATATATTATTATAGCCAAAAATCAAATAATAATTAGCGGGGTGTTGGTTTCGGGAAGCCAGATGACATGATTTAGAGTTTCGGGGGTTAAAGTGCAATTTCAAGACTTATTTTGTAAAGATTTTCAGTGGTCAGGGGGTGTTTGGTATCATTTGGATTTAATATGAAAGGATTTTGGATGGCTGGGGCTAAAAGGGTAAATTATGTACTAAGTTGAAAAGAATTTGTCAAGCAGGGGCTGCATGGTAATTTTTGGGACTTAAACTGAAAAGATTTCTTCTGGAGGGGGACTAAACATGTAATATATGCAAATCTAGGAGGATGGACACGGGTTGAACCCGTCACCCTCGTTGACCTCCATATATATTTATCATAACCCACATGCAGCGAAACCCTAACCCTAAATGAGATATCAGCCGCCACCCTTATACCTCCAAGCCTCCAGCGCCGCTACCTTATGCCAAACTCCTACCACCGCCGCTATTGATGCCGGAAACCACCTGGAAGTCCACCGCTCTTCTCCTTCTCCTTCTTAATCTGCCACCTTACGAACCTCCAGCCGCCACCACTGCCGAGCACACGAACTGATAGTGTGAACCACCGGGATTACTGCCCTGTTGCGCTGAAGCGGTGAAGACGTCGCCGACGCCCATGCCGCCATCCGACACCATTGACGCTCCAGTCGCCGGCGAAGACGAAGAGTCACGAGGGGATCAGAAAGCTCGATTCGTGGGTACTGTGGTTGTTCGCGTTTGGGTCGGAGACCCTCTCTTCTTGTTCTTTTGTTGCTGCCTCAGCTCACATCCGCCGTCGTCGCGTTGCTGTCGTCACCGACCATTGCTTGTCGCCGAGAAGGTGGTTGCGGTTGCATCTCTTTATTTTGTGTGAACTGCCGATTTACATTTGTTCATGGCGGTGTTGTGTGGGTCATCTAGTGTATGGGTGTGTGTTTTAGATCATGTCAGCATGTATGTGTGCAATTGCTTGGCCGGAGTTCACAAGAAAAGCCACCACTACCACCGTGAGGTGGTGGCTGCCACCACCTGCCACCACAAGGGTGGATGTGGGTGTGTATTTACTATGTTATTTTGAGTGGCTGTGTGTGTGTTCATTGTAATATTGTTTGTAATCGTGCCGGAATAATCAATAGAAAAATCCATAACCACCACTGTGAGGTGGTGGCTGCCGCCTCCTGCCGCCACCAGCCGCCGTGTTGGGTGGCGGTGTGCCTCATTTGCATTTTGACTCGTTTGGGGATGATTGGTCAAAGTGGGCCCAATGAAACCCTAGTGGGCCCAATGAGACCTTAATGGGCCTAATGAAACCCTAATTGACCTAGAAGCCCAACCATTTGACTAATGGGCTAGTATGTGGGTGGGAAACCCTAATTAGGGTTTGGAAAACCCTAATGTCTGGAAACCCTAATTAGTGGGAATTGATCGGGACACACACGGGAATTATTTACTTGTTTATATGTATGTGCATATGTTTGTTAGTTTGAGGGAAAGGGTTGAGGCAGGTCCTGATGTGTGCAGTAGGCCAAGACACCCTGGGCGGACCGGGTAGACGGCAGGCCCGGGCCGGGCAAATCTAGTCAGGACGAAGGCCCAACGAGCGGTCCGGATAGGCTGAAGGCCCCGAGGAGGGCGGTCCAGACATGCCGAGGGCTCAGAGAGCGGTCCAGATAGACTGAGGACCGGGATTCAGTCCAGTCAGACTGATGGCTCATTATGCATGATGTTCTGTATTGTTTGCTTATATGTTTATATGATATGGTTATATCTGCATGACATTGGTATTTTGGGGGTAACTCACTAAGCCTTCGAGCTTACATTTATTGATTATTGTTTCAGGAATTCTGATGATCGCGGGAAGGCGAAGGCGTGATAGTGCACCTCCTTACATTTTCATGATTGATTCTGGGGATACTCTTATGTTTAAATTGTTTTGAAAATAAACTGTAATAACTTAATGGTTTTAAATGTTTTAAAAAGTTTTAAATTGGCTTGAATTTTATGGGTGTTACAAGTTGGTATCAGAGCCTTGGTTTGAGTGAATTGGAGGAAACACTCGCATGTCTCCACTCTCAAACTAAGGACAAGATTTTATAGTGATTTTCTTAAAATGTTTTTGAAATAATAAAGGAGGATGCAAGTGTACGATCAGCCGGAGCTCGCGGATAGACCCCAAAATACCTTACGGATTATTTGATTATGTGATATGTTAGAACAGCATGTTAGTACTAGGCTAAGGATCTTCAGGAATTGTATGATTACATGATGCATGATAGCCTAGGGTTTTCCTTATATGAAATTGACATCATTAGTGTAGTTGCTTAGTGTATGCATCACGGCTGTACATAATTAAGATCTTATAGCCTGAGAATGTTTGGTTTGGCCTTATTTCCTATTCTTGTTTGATGAAGGGCTTAGGGTAGGATCAGGTATTCGAAAGTCTATAGGGTCCAGCGTTATGTATGGTTAGCATACACGAGTGCTCCAGGGTTGGTGGAAGTTTCATGGGTGGGTTGTGAGAGGCCGGGATGCCAGTTATGAGATATATAGTATTCCTCTAGGAGTAAGGATTGAGCGCTCGCTATGTCTATGTATATTGTTAGGGTGTTGTGGTGATACTTGAGACAAATATGGGTAGGTGTGGAAGGTAGTATGGGCCCGTACTGTCACACCCCCAAACCGGAACGACGGAAACGTTCGGGGGTGGATGACGTCATGTGTAGCATCACAACAACTGTATTATAGCAATCATAGTAAACACAACCATTACATTGAATACATATATGAAAAGGGTTTACATCTGTTTTATACTTGTTTTTATACATCAAAAGTATAATTAAAAGAAAAGGACAAGACTCTATACGCTCCGTCTTCTCAAAACTTCGGGAGGTATCTGTCTACTGATTTCCTGAGAATACAAGCAGTTTTTGAAAGAGTATCAGCATAAAACTGGTGAGTTCATAAGCGGTGTTTTGTAATGAAAACCTGTTGATGACTTTGTAAAAATGTTCGCATGTTTCCAATCAAATCCAATATTTTCTTTAGTAAGAGTGAGATAATATCAGTTCCATCTATAACTACTTAGTTCATGCTAGCCAGGTATAAACCCATATCGAACAGACAGTTGACTATGTGGATCTGCCCTAAATCCACAACCAAACAAGGAACAATAAATGAGGCGGAAACCACACATTCCACAGTCTATCGAATATGCTCCATACATAACCCTGATACATAAACTAAGGAATTATAGAATTAACTATGAATGTTTGTTACTGTATTCTGTTGTTTTGTATGAAAATTCTTGTATGAAATCCTTAGCCATCGTTAGAAATGTAAATAATGTATAAGAGGTTTTTCTAATTAATTGTAAAGTACAGATGTTTGTATGGGAAAATCCTATATTTTCCATTGTATGTGAGTTGCTGCTTTAATTGTTCCGAAACTGTGAGGCACAAGTATTTTCCATACTTATGTTGTTGAAGCAATTTTTCATGAAAAATATATTATTACGTAATTATATCGTTAATATCTACTGGCGAGTTTTATGGCCATACTAAACATGATACGACGTGAATCAGACGCCAATATCCTTTATGAATTTGTCACCCGTAGACCTGTCGGTCCTACTGTAGCTAACAGCAAGGTGCGGGGTTGTCAGTCCCGTATAGATCTATATACAAAATCACGTTCTCCCTCAAGGAGACTCTGGTTCATAAGGGTAGTCCTCCACTTAGTTATGGTTGTAAGCGCCCAAGGACGTGTCTCCCAACTAGATTAACGGCTTTACAAGTAATAATACGAAATACCTAATGTTCTTTTGTACTTGAATTTGATGCATGTCTTGTAGAGTAAAATAATTATACTTAAATAATTATTAAATGTTGTACTCTTGCAGTGATGTATATGATAAACTAAATATGTCATAGTTTATACGTTTACCCATGTATGAAATCTGAATTGATAAAAGTTGTGTATTGAATTCCCCAAACTATACCCATTATAGTTTACTTGAAATGTTATGTACTCGGTTTGTAAGTTGTTCTGAAAACGATGAAATTGTGTTTTCAAAATGAAAGTGTCCCTTATGCTCGACATAATACAAAAGGGATAAAATATCTAAATATTTTATAAAGCATAGAAATCGTTTGACTGTATCAAATGCATAAGTTTTAAACTTATTAAAATCATTTGTGTTTGGCTTGTATTCCCTCCTGAAAACATTAAAAATCATAAAAAACGTAGGGGATGAACTCACAGTTAGTTGTGTGCAAGCGTTGAATTAATGAACTGGAAGTGAAGATCCTCGAGTTGTTGTACGTGGCACTTAACGAAATCCTAATACCAATTAAATACATATATATATATATATATATATATATATATATATATATATATATATATATATATATATATATATATCTAAATTAGTGCATATAACGACTAATTATGATAGGGAAACACCCTAGGGACTAGGAAACACTTGAACTAAGTGTTACAATCACATATGATTGATCAAAGAGGAGTGTATGACCAAGGATATGTGTGTACGGCCAGGGATGTACGGCCCATGAGTGTACGGCCGTACACTCATGAAGAAGTGTACATTTTGAGGTGTTTTAAGGTCCTAAGAAGCATCAAGGAAGTGTTCTTGGCCCCATGCTTAGCTTTATTGGAAGATTAAGGCCAAAAATGAGCATCAAAGAGGGTTTACGGCCCTATGAGGTGTGTACGGCCGTACAAGGGGTGTGCGGTCGTACACCCTTCATGTTTATGCTAAGTTGGTCGATTTTAAGGTGAATCAAGGCTAGAATCAAAGGTTTAGCATGTCCAACTAGATGTTAGGGGCTAAACTCTCACTTTCGATGGCCTTTAAGGTGTGTACGGCCAACCTTATGAAGGCGTACGGCCGTACTCCCTTCAAGATGATGAAGATCATGTTGAAACATGAAGAATCAAGGCTTGAATCAAGAGGTATTTCAAGTATAACAAGCTAAAGGATGAAATACTTACGTTTTTGAAGTCTTGGAGGGTTCACTGTTGAAGAAACTAGAGAGAGAATGTAGTAGTGTGCGGCCAAAGGAAGAAAGAAATGAAGGAAATGAAGTCTACTCATATATATAGGGGTGGTGTACGGTCATCATTGAGTGTACGGTCGTACACCCATGTGTACGGCCGTACACACCGCTTGATGGTGTGATTGGCCCGAATGCAACGCGATGTACTAAATTAACTCACCCCTAAACCCAAACCTTGAATGCACTAGGCTTAGAATACTCAAACAGACCTTAAACAGTGCTAGAAGATAACAGAAACAAGTATGGCATTGATTGAATTGAATGGTTGTACAAGATAGAAATTTCGGGTTGTCACATCATCCCCCCGATAGAGGGAATTTCGTCCCGAAATTCAAACATAGAATACAAATCATGGACTCGGAAAGAGATGTGGATGTTTCTGTTTCATTTGATGTTCGCGCTCCCAAGTGAACTCAGGTCCCCTGGGGTTTAGTTGGGAGTTGGTTCCCTGTTATTGTATGAATTATCCAGGATCTCTCAATTGTATTATCAGAATGGTGGTTACGAGACGTCTTGAGACCGGATCCGGGTTAGGATCGGGAGCTGGCAGCCAGGATAGGCCAGTATTGTTAAAGGATCATGTCGGTGAGATCATCCGGGAGGAGGTGATCGAGATTGCTTGGGGACAGTTGCCGAAGATGTTTGGGTCTATCAAGACCGCCACGGTTGAGTATTTTGATGAGCGCTATGCAACCATTGCTGAGACGGCTGCCGCAGCAGCTACATCAGCTGTAACTTCGGCAGGGGAGGAGCTGGTCGAGCCTTCCAGTACCGGGACTTGTTACTGGGACATATTCTGATGAGCAGAGAGCAGCGGTTACTTGAGATCAGGGAGATGTTCTGTAATCGTTACATTCCACGGGTTGAGTGGGAGAGGCTGGCATAGGAGTTTCAGGATTTGAGGCTTCGGGGGTTTTGCTCGAGGCCAGGATGCGAGTCGCGGGGACTCTGGAAGGGAGTGATGATTATGTTCAGCTGGAGTTTTGCAGCTGGAAGTAGAATGGTTAATTGATGGATTGAAATATCGTTTCTTAGGGCAAGGATTGTGCCCTTTTAGTTTTTCGAGCTCGAATGAGTGAGCAGACTTGTAACCCCAGGATCAGGTTGTATTCTAGCTCGGGGTCAGTTAGTTGCAGGGATTGGCGACATTATTTCAGTGTTGGTGAGCGCATATGGGACTATGTCGCATAAGTATCTTGTGAGGCGTACGCGATTACCGACCCTACCCATAGGAGCTAAGATCTGATTCGCCTTGGATCTCTTGTATCGGGCGGTAAGGATTGATTGTGCGATCTATTGCACTTTTAGGATTGTAGACTATGTCTTGGGAGTAGTTGTGGCCCGATTTAGGGCAGAGGTTGCTTCGGCTACTGCAGTTCAGCTGTGGACGATTGAGCTGGTGAGTGAGTCAGGGTGTAAACCCTGAATGAAATGATTTCTAGAGCCCGAGAGCGGGAGACTTGTTTGGAGCATCTTGGGAAGAGGGGTATTATGTGGGAGGTCTGCGGACTAGGTCCCCCAGGATGGTTATTCAACATTGTCAGGATTCAGTGGTTTTAGTAACCGTTATTGATTGGCGGATGAGGGCACCGAGGGAAGTAGCTTGTTGCCGAGATATTAGTTGGAGCACCTATCTTTAAGTCTTCAAGATTTGAGTGTGGGATCATTCAAGTAATAGAGACTGTCGGTTTCACTAGGATTCAGGAAGTGTTCATCTGCTTCTTAGAAGTGTGTGATTATTTGGGATTGACTAGTAATGGAGCACTAGTTGGTTGTTATCGGATCGATCGTTGGAAAGGGAGAAAAATTGGGAATTCTCCAATTTTCATGTATTGTGAAGACTTAGTCGAATCTAAGTGGGGGAGAATCATCCCGGGATTCGGAAGCGGGAGTGGTTTCGAAACTGGGATAAGTTTCGCATCCTTGTCAGGATGAAAGGCAGCCCAAGTGGCTGTTTGGTTCGAGAGTTGTGTGAGTTGGGAGTTCGGTAAAACTCCCCAACATATGTATCGCGTCCTCTCGGTGCTTGATAGTAAAATTTGGGGAAATCAGTTTGGGGTTCTAGTCAGGAATTGAGCTCAGTTCAGGTGTTCGGTCGAGTGTGTGCTCGACTTTGAGGGTTTTTGGATTGATAGATTGAGGGTTTTGTTAGCTGTCAGGGCTCGATAGTACATTTAGCACGGGTGTGCGGGTTATTTAGCGTATGTGGTAGATACGCGGTTCAGGAATCAGATCACGGTTTCCCGAGAGGGTGGGCGATCAACATGAGGTCTAGAGTTAGGCCGAGATCATTGCCACAGATTGGAGCAGGAGTTCGAAACCCCAAGTGGGGAAGAACTGACTATATGGGAAAGGGGACCAGGATGGGTCCAGGTTTATGCACAACAGACTTAGAGCGGTCTAGATAGACTGAAGGCCAGCGGGGCGTATCAGTTAAGCCGAAGGCTCGGGGAACGGTCCAGACAGGCTGAAGGCCCGGGGAGGTGGTCCAGACATGCTGAAGGTTTTGAGAGTGGCCTAGATAGACTAAAGGCTCGGTGAGGCGGTCCAGTCATGCTGAAGACTATGTATGAAATCCGTTAGGTCTAGCGGTCAGATAGTGAGGGAAGTGTTGTGAGATTGCGGGAGGACCCGTAGCATTCACGAATTTTTCAGATGATTAGGCCAGGGTGGGCCAATTCGCAAGATTATGGGTAGACCACATCATAATCGGAATTAGGAAAACGGTAGGTCGTTGGAGACCGGACATTAGGTAAGACTACAATATTATAGTAGCGTTCACCTTTCGTATTTGATTCGATAACGACATGATATCAGACTATTATCGTCGGATGGATCAGAAGGTCTGTCAGGGAGCCAGACCACCTCGAGACTCCAGATTTCGGATTG